TCATGGATGTGGTGGGCAAACAAAAGCGCGGAAACTCCAAACGATGTGTGCGGCGCGAGCGAGACACACCACTGCAATCCATCGACTTCAACGTCACATGCCAGGGACGAACAACAGTCTGTGCTGCGCAGAGCTGGCGCATGGTCTTCAATCGCTTCAAAGAGGGCCCGCCGCTCGTACACTGCCAAGAAGAGGTCGCCGTTAGAATGTTCAGACGTGGCCACATCGAATCCAACTCGACACGGAAACCTAATGTCGAGCTTGGGAAACGCGAGCAATGCGTGGAGCACAAACAACAACGGATCCGACGCCAGGCGCAGCGCGGACCTGGCGGCGTCTTCCGCAGCGACCTTTCCCGCTTTGTCGCGGACGACGGTGAAGCGTTCATGGATGTGGTGGGCAAACAAAAGCGCGGAAACTCCAAACGATGTGTGCGGCGCGAGCGAGACACACCACTGCAATCCATCGACTTCCACGTCGCATGCCAGGGACGAACAACAGTCTGTGCTGCGCAGGGCTGGCGCATGGTCTTCAATCGCTTCAAAGAGGGCCCGCCGCTCGTACACTGCCAAGAAGAGGTCGCCGTTAGAATGTTCAGACGTGGCCACATCGAATCCAACTCGACACGGAAACGTACACACTTTTAGCGACTTGGTGATGCCGCTGGCGTTCATCGCCATGTTTGACGCAAACTTGACGTGGAATTCACGCACGATGGACGAGTACGTGGACAGCGGCAGCAAGCGGTGGGCAGCTTGGTGAGCCCGCAGGACGCGGAGCGCGTCGTCCAACGATGGCTCATACATGCACGTGAGCAAGAGCACTCGTTCTATCGTGGCTGTCGTTGTCGGGACGGTGCGTCCCTCTCGACCGGCACCGTTCCCAGCACGGCACTCGAACTCCTGGAACGCCTCCCACACAACGATGGCCCCACTGGCATTGTGCGCATACACACATGCCTGGATGAGCTCGTCAAAGAGAGTTCGGTACGTAAGCTCATGATGCTTGACCGACGTGGTATACGACCGCTCTTGGTCAAGCAACGATAGCATGGTCAAACCCGCAACTTCATCGTTTCCGTAGAGACGCAGGATATACATGGCCATGCGATGTGTGACAGGGATACCATCGCGCATGGCGAGGCGAACGACGTCGCTCAAGTGCCACACGCTCGGTGCAGACGTCGTCAAGTCGTCCTTCATCGCGAGGTACGTGCCGCGAATGTACTTGCGGACAATGGCCTGCGTACGCGGAATCGCCATCGCGTCCATGCCCATGTACGTCTTCCAAGCGTGCTCTGGAGCATTGCAGCAGATGAAGGCGTCGATGAGCGCGAGGTAGGTCGAAGCCGTCGGCAAAACGTTCGGCTGGGGTGGCAGGTCGATCGCGCCGTCGTCCGACTGCCATCCGTTTGTACCGAGCAATTGCATGGCTTGGAATACGGCGTCGATTTCGTCCTTCCACTTCCGCTTGCGACACTGATGCACGAGTGTTTCAAAGTCCATCCTGTCCTGCCGTGAGCTCGACAACGATGGCCATGCCGATGGGACGAAGCCACGGCAACTCAGCACCCCACTGTTGCGGAGAGGAAGGCGGGATATCGTACCGAGTGGGCATCACACCGCGAATGGAGCGCTCCACTAGCTTGTAAATGTCTTGCTGAATGACGGACTGGCGCACAGACGCCGGAGTTTCGTAGCCCAGACATCCGGCGGATTTTTCTACGAGCGCCATGCATGAGCCACCGGTCATTTCGTGGCAGAAACTTGCATGTATCTGGGCACAGCTCTACGCTCCAAGTGTACCTCGGCCATTCGAAGCGTCGCTGCGTCCATATGTCAAGGCGTTTCTGTCGCCATCATGGATCAAGCCCTCGTCGAGCCACTTTTGAACAATGTCAAACGATTCGGCTTTTCGCATGGCGCGTCCAAGCGAATGCACGGTGCGTTCAACGAGCAGTTCCATCAACGTTCCGTTGTCCAGGTCCTGGCGGCGCCGGCGCAAAATGGCAGTCGCCAAGGATAAATCGCCGCGTTTCGCGCACATGTCCAAGGCTTCCGTGTACAACGACGGGTCACAATCATTTTGGCGCTTGGCACGATCCAGCACACTTAAGGCGAAGCTCGTGTCCACAGAGGTGCTACATTCACACACTCCGACGTCAGCAAGGCCACTACAAAACGAGTTCCAACCTCATGGCGAGGACGCGAAGTACGGTCGTAAATGTCACAATATTTGGCTGGACGGGAGTCCGCAACATGTCGTCGTATCGCTGGAGAGCCTTCTCCGCCTGACCACACCGGCCAAGGACGTCAATAAGCGCCGTGTAGGCAAACACATCCGGAACAAAGTTATGCGTGGGCAAGAACGTGAACGCCCGTTCGGCCTCAAACGCTTTACCACATCGCTGACTCGCTGTAATGAGCGTGTTGATGGCATAGTCAGCCTGAAGCGTCGGCTGGACATTGATGCCACGGTCGGGGTCGCCGTGGGTGTACAGCTCGAGCAGCCACAGCACGTACTCGTACGCTTTGTCTGGCTCGCGTTTGGCCCAGCGAAAGATAGGCTTGAGGAGAACTCGGGTCTCGACAGTCGTCGTGGACTGGAGGCTCGCCACGATGGCTGCCGTCGCATCATCAACTTCCCATCGATACGCCATCTTCAGCCTCGAATTTGAACTTTCGTCCAAACACATTGCGTTTTGATTCGCTGCAATGCGGTCGATTTCATTGGCTATAAAAGGGAACATAATGCGAGTGATGGTGTCCATACACGGTTTTGATTGGTTGTTAAAAATAGAAAATCAGCGGCGCTCGTTCATAGGTGCATGACGTGGCAGCATGGCATCAACGTGTTCAGTGAATTAGAACGACCTGGTGCGATGCAGTGTGGGCGCGGCATCCCCCACGGGGTGGTCCCTGCGAGCAGCTACCGCATTCTTGGTCGCCAAGTCGCTGAGCCGATTGATCTCATTGCGCGCCATCGTGTTCGAATGCAAGAGGCAGCGTTCGGCGTGGAACTGCTGCGTGATCTTGGCTAACTTGAGCCGGTCGTCCTCGCTTCCGTCCGTCGGCGCAATGCACTCTGCCAACCACACGTTGGCCTCGGCAATTGCTGCTTTGATATCGGCGAGCACTGGGTTGGTCGGATCGATGCTTCGTAGAATCTTGAGATGCCGCTTCACATCACCGCTAATTACCGAACACACACGCTACTCATGACAGTGATTTCAAATGAGCATGGTATCGCGATGTGTGTACCTGAGCTTCGCTTTGAATGTCGCGGATGCATCGCTTGTCGACCACGATGACAGGAGGGTCAGCGTTGACTGGGGACGTCTTCGCAGACCTTGGAGTCCCTTTCGGCGCGTCGTGTGAGTCTTGGTGGTTGTCGTCGGGCGTGGCAACACCTTCGAGCTTTGCGTTGTTGAGGCTCTCGGTGAGTTTTGGAAGCAGTGACCAAAGGTGTCGGTGGGACGAGTTTGTTGGGGATGGCTGCTGCGACCCGTCTGTCCCTGTTGCCACAGCTTCGTCGTCCTTGGTCATCCTGATGGCCTTGAATGGGTCGTCGGTGAACTTGCGCAGCGACCAACGCCGTCGGTTAGACGGCGGCGATGGAGAGTCCTGGGGCCGTCCATTCGTGTCGTCTTCGATCTTATCTTTGGTGGGCTTGCCCAACGACGAGAGACGTCGGAAGAAGATGTTGACAGCGCCACCTTGCGGGGCCGGAATCGTTGACGCCCCCACGTCCAATTGCTCGTTCTCATCATTCTCCTCGCCCGGAAACGCACCTGTCCTCACTCCGTCCTGCTGTGTATCGTCGTTGCTGTCGCTGTCACCGCCACTGCCGGTGGCGCGGGACATGGCCTCCTTCCATGATGTGAGCAACGACATGATACTGGCAGTTGCCGCAATGGCAAATCTTTGTTCTAGATAAAATGGAGATATAGGATTGGCTAAAATACAATAAAACTTTCAATTTCATCCAATCCGAGGACGTTCTTGATTATTTATGCGATGTTTTGGATCTTTCTGCAGGTTGCCATGCAGCAGCTGAGCTTTTCGCGCAGCGCTCCCGCAGACGCTGCGCAGTGGCGAGAGCCGCAGGTACAACGACGCGCTATTCAATTCACAGTCCCATGGCAAACTACCGACCTCAAACAGAGCGGTAGCCGGAGAAACCCGTCCTTGGCTCCACATTCCGCTCCCAAACGTGCACAACCTCCACGACGCAAGTCATCCAACCCTCCACCGCGCAAGCGCGCTGCGCCACGTCCAAACTGGAATGACGACGTCAAGCAAGGCGTGTATTTTGATCAAGCTTTGACCAAGACAATGTTGTTCAATGCGCCAAAAAAGTCCCGTGACATGATGGAGCAGTCACCAATGCCCACTAAGCCACAACGCCGAGTCGCCGCGTCAACATATACGCCAAAGGCACAGAGCCCCACCGCGCGAGCAAGGACTAAAGCTGTGTCACTCGTACCCTCGCGAACGCCACGTTCGGGGTTGGCGCCGCGCATTTCTGTCAAGCCCACCATCGTCGCAGCAAAGAAGGTCAACTCCACCTCCTCAGCGGCAGCCACTTCTCGTCCTAACTCCGCTTCAAGCGCATCCCCTTCCCAAACACAGCCCGCACCAAGCTCATCAACGCGCCATTCCACTTCAACACCATTGGCATCGTTAAGCTTTGCCTTGCAAGAAGTAAGTTCAGCTGCTTGGCCTCGAAATTCACAAGTTGATCTGGTCTTATCGCAGAACAAACCGCAGCCTCCATCGTCCCCACTTGTTCGGAGCGCGAACCAGGAAGACAAAGATGACCACGTGGCGTTTCCGTCGTTCCCGCCGCCTCCCAACTTTCAGCAATTGCCGGCTCGGGACCCGCCCGGTTTCAACGTTCATTTAGTCGAGAGTACGTTTCGCGTGATCGATATCAAGCGAAGAGGCAAGCTCAATGTCCGGGAGATTCATCAAGGCTTGCAGCTCTTGGGCATCGCGACGACGTTGCGGCAGGTTGTTTTCTCTATTTGGCATGGCGTTCAAAGTCTCACCGAGAGGTCGAGATAGATCACCGACTACTTGTACCTCGTCACCGACGGACAAGGGGACACAATTGACCTTCAAGACTGGACGACACTTGTTCAAACGCTGCAGTCGTCTGCGTGGGCCACACCGTCATTCTCTCTGGACTACGCGCCCACCGCCCTGGCGCCGACGGACCCAGCCCCAACAATGCCATCCCAGCCGGCATTCCCACCAACTGCCCAACCTCGTGGAATGACCGCACGTTCCCTGAATCACGTGGAGATTGAGACTGTCGCAACGCAATGCTCTCCTGTCCATTCAACCGCTGCATCACCCCAAGCACCTCCCCGACCATTCAATGGTCCAGCCACAACTCCGTCGTCGCCATGGCATGAAACCTGGTTCATCGATCAGATCGAGGTATTCGCGTCGTGACGTTCCCCTATAAAACTGTTTCGCCAGTGCGAACGCCCATGACTGTGTGCCGTAGCGCCGCATCCAAGAGTTGTTTGGGCGAGCAGAAGCAGCCGTGGCACTTCGATGGAACAACCAGCAAGTCGATGGCGACCCCCCGCGAGACTTTCTTCGGCGGGCAGCCTCCGTAGTTCATGGACTCAAAGTAAAACGACAAGGTTGCATGCCATGGCTCACATTCGTTTCGTAGTCTAGCTTGTACCCCTTGGTCCAACAAGCGGAGGAAACGCTCCGTGCGATTCAAGACCGGCACGCTGGCAACCTGTCTGTGCTTTTATCGCCAAAGGACTTGGAGATTGTGGCCGACCACGTCGACGACTTTGGCGATTTGCTCTTGGACGAGGTCCTCCTCGTACGAAAATGCCCCATTTTGTGCGTCACCAAGACATTGAATCATTGACAATATGTACAGGATGCAGCGATCGAGCTGACAACCACCGAGCAGCTGAAGGCCCTGCACGCCACACAAGCCTCGCACGACGAGGACGTGCAACAACTCATCACCATGATCGACGACATTCAAGCGTCAGAGCAAGCCATGGCGGAGGCTCTGCTGAGGCCTTTGACAACGATACAGGACGACGGTGATGCCCGCGTCGCCACGACGCCCTGTCTTGTGCCCATATGCACTCTGCCGCAGCTTTCAGAACCTCAAGCCCAGTGCGAAAACGTGGCCAGTCGTCCAGCGCTTGCCATTTTCACAGACGAAGCCCAGCTTTGTCGACGCCTTACCGTTTGTACGAACAACATCGCCACGATCGAAGAGACACTGGAAGACCATCGACAGGCTTTTCTGCGGTCCCGTCGCATCGCGGAAGCATCGTTAGCTGACACGGGCATCGAGCAGCCGGCGGTCATTGAACTGTAAGTCTAATTAGGCCTCGTGCGATCGAACATGACGCGCGCACGTCTAGGTTGGAAGGCATGTTGGTGGACGATCTCGTGGACGCTCTGGCCGTCGAGCTGGATTCGTGCTTTTACACTTTGAGCGACAAAATTGTGCACACGGTGTAAGCCAAACACATCAAGACGGTCACAAGGGCCATGGGTTACAGAGTTTTCGACACAGTCTCTGCTTCGCATACGCGAGGCCAGTTGAGCTACAACGGGACCACTCGCCACAGCCGCACGTTCGCGTCGTCGCCCGCAGAGACCAAGAGCGTTGGGTCCGTCGGGCACCACCGGACGCAATTGACATCGCCTACGACAGCAAACCAGAAAGTTACGCGTCCTCTCCATGCATCTCTCATTCGAGTAGCTGGGGAGATACCTGCGTGTGCGCGCACTTGCTGGAATGCGAGCTCAAACTTGCCCGACGTTCCGTTGACCTGGAACAACCGTATCCCGTCGTCGCCGCATCCCGTCGCCAACACATTGGTCGTGGGATTCCAGTGGATGCTGAAGACTGCGCGGGGATGGTACCCGACGAGCGCATCGACCTTGGACCATTCTGTTGGCCTACATACACTTTTGCAGTCAGATACCATGCTCGGGCTCCGCAGATGCGTGGCGAGCTTGCGCATCGAAAGGCTCAAGACCGTACCGGCCTTCAGCCGTCAGCGTCGCAGGATGCCGCTGCCAAAGCAACACTGACGTATCGTCGGAGCACGTGGCCAGGCGAAGGCCGCTGGCATCTGTGGTGGCCGCCCAAACTGTCGATGAGTGTCCAGTCAAGGTTTCAATGCATGCCCAGTCATCTAGAGCGCATCAGGCGATGCTGTAAGAAGGAGAGGAGTCGTTGTTGTGCACTGATCCACGATGCAAGGATCGAGATGTACCATCGCGCTCGGCCCACACGCATACGGTGTCGTCGTACGAGGTCGAGAAGAGGAGATCTTCCTCGGGGTGCCACAGGACAAACTTGACGTCCTGGCTGTGGCCGTGGAGCACGGAGACGCACTCAAAATCCGTCTCTGCATCTGCTTCCCAGATCCACACACTCTTGTCGCGACTGCACGTGGCCAGATACGACCCCGACGGACTCCACGCCACGCTCTTGACTTCGCTTTCGTGGCCTTCGAGAGCCGCAATCACTTCGTACACGTCGCCTTGCTTCTCCCAGATCACTGTCGTCGCGTCAAAGCTGACGGACGCAATGTACTGGCCGTTGCGTGACCTAGACAGACGGGACGTGTCAGCGTGGTGCTGCTGACTCGAAAGAGAGGAATCATGCACCATTCGCACGCACGAATCGTTCGACCTTGGGCGTCTTCCAGTGTTGCGACGCAGTCCCACGCAGGCTGTTTCTTCGGGTTTCGGGAAGGAGACCAGATACGAATCGTCTTGTCACTTCCGCACGTTGCCAGCAGTGCCCCGTTTGGATGCCACGAAGCATGCCATACGCACTCGGAGTGCCCAGTTAGCACCGCAACCTCCTCCAAGCGGACCGCCATTTGATTCCTGTCCACGGTGCGTGCCGCGTATCCGGATAAGACGATTATCCGAACGACGAGGGCGATCTTGTACGGATAAACCTCTGGAACTTGATGACTTTCCACTGCCCATGCCGTGAAACGCCACCAAGACTCGACTACGGCAAGCAACCTCTTTCCCTCAGCGCCAGTGTGTCTCGATGAGCGCGACGAATGTCTTCGTCTTCAGGACCATGCATAATCTCATCGAGCTTGGTGTTGTGTCGGCTAGCTTGTGTCCATTGTGTTGACAAATGAAACCGTCGTGTGAAACGTCGCGACCTTTCAGGTGACAACGGTTGGGCGAAACGTCGACGTTCACCATCGCAGATTTGTCGAATTGCACTCATATTACACGCTAGAGCTGAAACCGAGATGCCGCATTGCGTTGTCCGCGGCTCTCACCGAAGCTGGCACTGGAAACCACGTTGGTGTGCGATCGGTGTTCGTTTTGTTGCGAAAGTGTAATTTGGCAGGTCGACGTTGCACGCATAAGACTCGTGCGTATATCCTGACCCAACCAACTACGCGTACTCTTAACAAACGAGCTCGTCGACGACAGAATTCGTTTGCAGCGACTGCTTCACGTGATGCCGAGCAGCCTAGCTTCTCAGTGTGCGACGTTCAGCACCTGTGGTTTCAAGGGATGCAGCGCGGAGACGACTACAAATTCCTCTGCGCCACCTCCTGTCATCCACACGGGGCCGTCCTGGGGTGCAACAAGCGCTCGACGAGTTGGGACTTGATTAGCAACTCGTGTATGGCTTTATCCAACATCGGATCCAGATTTGTGATGTTGTGATCGATTGCGGTGACAAGTAGAGCAGCACGCAGTGAGGTCCGGGCATGTGGCGCTACCTCACACGTGCGATTGCACCCCACCGACACCACATGCTCTACGTCACGGGTCGTTTATTTTGCTAGCTTCGCACGAGTGGGTACTCTTACTGCTCCCTGAAATTTACGTCGATGGTTGCAATCGCCGACGACGCCACGGCCTTGATGGCCAAAGAGCCGACGCTATCGGACAGTTGGTCCAACTTGCCACCCTGACAAGCAGTACATTGGCATCCCCAAGCATAGCAGGTATCTCGGGAATTCCCCACGCTGAATTGTGCGTGGAATGCTGTCAAGTCGAAAGTCTGGAGCACAACGGACGTCGTTCCACGTCGTGGCGGTCACGAGGGTTGTGGCGGTGATGCTTTTGGTTGTCGATCGTGCAAAGTGGGCGAAATCTAACATGGCCCGCTCCGGGCATGGGAAAGACAGCGCGCTTGAATTGTCCTTGCTATTGAGAGGCGTTAGCTGGATATCGTGGACGATAAGGGTTCACGGGACTCATCCGTGCTATTCCTTGATTCAAGGGATGATCCAATTTTCTTAAGCGTAAAGTGGACCGAGTCCAGTCTACGCGGCTAGCCCATTGCCAAGCACCACACGCAGCTACAGTAGATGTAGCCTTGATGCCTCAATGCCATCCGTCTAGATTTATCTTCATCTCGGTTCCAGAACGCTCGTTGAGAACGGAGGGGCACTGCGATGTCGCTGGACGTGTCATGCCAACCCAAGAATGCAGGCGGCGTGGTCGTCCTCGACAAGATCTTCGAATCACACGTCGCATATTGTTCGCGCAGTGCTGTTTTCATCGCGCGAACCGATGTTGTTCGATCGTGTGACAGAAGGTCTGCTAGTTTGGATTTCCGTGCCTCTCGTCGTCGTTGCGATGCCGACGGACAACAATGCCATCTCATGGCGATGGACACTTGCACCGACAGCCCAAGACACTAAATTCGTCCAATACGATTCGGCTTCTGCGCCATCGTCTACTTCGTACTCGGACGACGCGGCCATGCTCGTCCCATCCGACGACCAACACGCCGCGTTGGCCGACCGCAATCAAATGCTCAATTTTGGTCGACCAGGATACGAGCACGAGTGGGCCCCCACTGAACACCAAGCGTCAGAAACCCTCGCTATGTCCACAGAAATGGCTTCTCCACTTGCCCTGGCCAGAGCGTGGTCGGAAGAGCTGGTGCAGAGCTTGTGGACACCCCCGCAAATGAACTCCCAGGTCGCCCTGGAAGGAGCTGTCGTTGTGGGTTTCGTGGCCATTGTAGCGCTGGTCGTGACCCGCATCTACATCCCCTCTGCCCCGATATCGATGTCGTCCTTCGGTGACCAAGACGACGAGTTCGACGATGTGTACCACCCGCTTCTCTAGAGCTCGCAACGTGAATAATTTTTCATCATGAAAGCGTCTATATTTGGCCGCCCTGGGCATGTTTCGAGTTTGCCACACTTCCATGCGCATGGGGTCGTTCAAGTCGACCAAGGCATGCGGATCGCCCTTTGTCAAGGAGCTGGCTCCGTCGAGCAAACGCATTCAACAACTGATGGATGACCAGGAAAATGCGTACGTGCAAGTGATCGCCCCGGAGCCTGAGTCGCGCGGACCGGCTCCACGGCTCCATCGCAGCCACATCGTGCGCGATCGATACTTTGCCGCCGCTGCCGCTACCATGTCCAAGACAACCCACAACCCACCCAAGAGCAACCAGCGTCGGCGCGATTCCTTCAAGCGGGGTGCCGAATCGTCCGCCTCGCTAACGCCTCCAAGGCCCTCGTCGGCCGTGGCCAAGCCATCGAAACAATCGTCGTTTGAACACCATCGGCTGTATCACTTCTACAACCGCCAAGTGTTTGCGTTGGGAGGTGAAGCGAGCGACCAGCCAGGCTCGAACGCGAGCCTGCAGTACCAGCTCAGCAGCGCTACGGATGGAAATGTTGATGGCGCCCGCGTCGACTCCAACTCGGACGAAGATGACGTGTTCGACACGGCATCTGCCGACGACGACGGCTTTGACGAGAGAGTTTTAGATTCCAATCCACCGACGGACGACTTGTACGACCAGTGCTTTGACGTATGTGGTGGATGATGAATCCCGTGGTCTCGACCTCTCACGTGGGCATTTTCCAGGTGGACTGGGCTGCCAGCCATATCGAGAAAGTTGTCAAGGATGGCGTCGAGTGCCGTCGCATTTACGCAGCCATAAAGCCGCATTACCGCATCCTCGTGGGTTTGTTTCGGCAGTTTGCCACCTGCGCTCCGACGGCCACGGTACGACTCGCCCCATCCTGTCCTGTTGCAAACGGATGCATCATTATCCAATATGCACAGGAGCCGCTTCGATTGACGGCCAAGGTGAAGCTGCTCGAGGGACTCAACGTCGTGGTCCCCGACCCCAGTCGCCACGGAATAAGTAAGTTCTGTTCCACGCGCCGCCACTTGGCTGAAGCCTCATTGCCGTAGACGACCAACCGATTCCTCGCCACAGCTTCGTGTCGTTCCTGGTTCACGTCGCTCAAGTATACCTCAAGCGCGAAGAGCTCGTCGGGATGCTCAAGCGTCTAGCCCGAGAAGGGCTCGATGCGTCGGCCGCCTTCCATCACCTCTTGCATGACAATATCCTGCCGTATGCGGCCATCCAAGACGGCGCGCATTTTCGCCGCCTCTTCCACGACCACGCGGCCATCCAGTGCCTTCACTTCAAGTACATTCAGGCAACGACCAAAGTGTTTCAAGCGCATGCGACGCTCGCGACCAGCGACCCCCTGTCGAGTTCCGGGGCACGCGATCCCCCAAGCAACGTTCGCTTTCTCAAACTTGCCGGCTTCCTCGCGATACTGTCTCAATTGCATCAAGTGCGTGATGGCTTGTGAGTTTGTCTTATTGGTGGATGCCATGGCGCTGCTTTTCCCATAGATGGACGCCAAATTGGACGACGCCAAAGCGACGCAAATTTTCGTGTCGTGCTTGCCCGTTTGGCCCGACGAGTTTGCGACGGCTGCGCAGGAACTCACGTTTGGTGGGTTTCAAGAAGCACTCACCAAGGTGCTGCTGCTCCCCTCGTTGACGCACATCCGTAACGCACCTCTCCTTGCTCAGGTCGCGTACACGGCATGCGCGCTAGCTCTGTGCAATGGGAACGACGACGTTTGCCCTGGACGACCCAACTCGGAGCGATGCACTTGCCCCGCAAATGCCACCGAGGATGGCGAGCGCTACTCGATCCACGTTCTTGCCGACAAGCTACAAGCGATGCTGACGAAATGCGGGGCTCCCGTCACCCGGCGGGCAAGGCGGCAATCCGTTAAGCCAGACTCACTTGCCAAGTTCGTCCATGCTTCGTCAAGTTAATTAAGTTTGTCCGGCTTACATGGACGTCCCACCAGCCTGCTGATGAGTTTTGCCACGATGGAGAGACTGCTTGTTGGCAGGCATCAAGTGCCGTTTGGGGAAGAAGTTGAAGGGACCTGTCTACCGAGAGCATGTGCTAGCAAACGACAGATGAATGGGGGAACCCCTGGAGATGTTTAAAGGTCCATCTGATTGTCGGTGGTGCAACGTGCTTGATGTGCCAGGATCAGCTTGGAATTCGATGCCATGACGACGGCTACATCCATTGGTGTCATGTCGAGCGCCCGCCGCACCGTTTCCAGGGATTCAGGGCAATGGAGCTCCAATATTTCGAGCCCCACGGTTGGCTCGGTCAGATTGCGCTGGACAAGTGCTTGAACCAAGAGATCTTGTGCTTGTTTGAGCGGACAATGCTTCGTCGCGATCGTCTACGCCGTGCACGACACCTGTCATAGCGAGGCACGCCATGCATGTGTTCAACCTGTACTGGCATCGCTTCGTCGCACAAGTCGTCGCCATCGTCCCACAACTGATTTGAATCTGCACCGACCCGTGTTAGTCCCCAAAGCGTGACAATGTCCGAGTCGAGACACCACCGTGGCTGCGTCGAACGTGGGTGCGCAGCACAGTGGCGTGGTCCAAGTTCACTTGGCTCGCCAAGTCCAGCGCAGACATACCCTAGTCGATGAATCGTTCGTTCCGTCACAAGAATTGCTTCGATGTATCGACGACGACGGCCGTACCTTGTAATTCAGCGCAAATATGTTCGAACCTTGGTCCATAAGCCACACAACGGTGTCGATGTGCCCATGCGCCGCTGCTTCGTGTATGCACGTGTGGCCGACACAATTGGTTGCATCCAAGTCGATGCCTCGGTGGACGAGCCATGCCAAGATATCCGTGCGCCCCCTCCTCGCCACCAAATGACTGTGCGTGTCGAGCTATACCACGTTTCCGTGAGTTCTCACGATGCCAGGTGCACCAACTACCGTGGCCGGATCTCGCGCTGTCACAAAGAGACTGCCAAACAAATCATAGAGCTGGTCCATCTCTCGCATGTTGGCTGCCCGCGACGCTTGCATGAACATGCTGGCACTGCATTTGCTGGTCATCGCTTGATTTCGCAAGATGAATCGTCGTGTCAGTTACAGTTCGTGAAACGAACGGGCAGTTACAAACCACCTTCCTGCCGCCGCGATGTCCAAGGCCAAGGCGAGCGCCGCCCCCAAGTTCGAAGTCCCTGAAGTGGATGTGAACCCGTTTAAGCTCGCGGCCGTCGGCAACCTCCAAATACTCAAGACTCTCGTCGACCCCACGGGCAATAAAGACGGCGAGTACCAAGGCAAGCCCATCGACGTCAACGCCAAGGATATCTATGGGTGCACCCCCATGATCTGGGCGGCTCGCAATGGGTACTTTGACGTGTTTGAGTTCCTGGTAGCCCATGGTGCTGACATCGAGACGGCGTCGTTTGGGGGTATGACGGCACTACACCACGCCGTCAACCACTGCCGCCTCAACGTTGTGACCAAACTCATCGAGCTGGGGGCGAGCATCGATACCAAAGACGACAGCGGCAATACTCCGCTGCACTTGGGTGCAGGTCGGGGAATCCTAAACCCTGTCCTCTCTCTTCTAGCCGCCGGCGCCAACATCAACGAGACCAACTCGCAAGGGGTGACCCCCCTCCACAAAGCTGTCAGCGCTGGCCACTTTCCGTGTGTCGAAAAGTTGCTGGAAAATCGAGCTGATCCCAACGCGGCGAATGCCGAAGGCAACACGAGCTTGCACTTGGCAGCCAAAGGCGGGTTTGACAACATTGTCCATGCCTTAATCGACGCCAAGGCCAACATCACGCTCAAGAACAAAGCGGGGAAGACTGCCAAAGACATCGCTCTAACACCTGAAATAGCCAAGCGATTGTAGTACGAACGTCATGTCAAGTACAAGACACTTTGTCGTGCAGACAAGGCAATCGTCAAGGACCCGTGCGGTAGTCCCATGGCCGAACAGGGCTATCATACACCGTTCGCGATGGCTTCACGGGGTCCGCGCTGCTGCATCAGGCACAAAGTTTATGACTTCTTCTTTTTAGCATACTCGTAAAAGAACGTGGGCAAGCTCTTGTACGCTTTGAACTCGTCGTCGTCGGGATCTACGACAGAGTTAGCTCGATCGCACGATGTGGCATCCACCGAGTAGTACCTGCTGGCCGACTTGTATTCTCCAGGCGTGCTTCGTACAACGCGCTCACTTCTTTGCCATACCTACTCCGATTGCCATGTCGTCATACGTCGCGCCGTCAAAAACTGGCGCCATCATGATGTACCTGTCCCACGTGATCATGATGAGAAACACGAAAAAGAGGAAGAGCAGAGAGAGCACTCCAATAATCTTGGTCTGGGTCGACGTCGATTCCCCTGCATGTGCAGCACTCTCGTCAGGTGCTAGCCGCGATCCGCTCTGTCATACCGAAAATGTCCATCTTGGATTTCCGCAACTTTCCGGATAATGAAAAATCCAAAGGCAAACAAATGAACTTCCCGACCGACAGAACGACATCGATTGAGGAACAGGCGCAAGGTGCCATGAAGGACGGTGGCGCAGCATTCATAACATCGCAGAGACAGCGCTGTGATGGACATCTGGTTGAGCAAGCAATGCGCTGTTGGATGGCTACTGATGCATACACGACGGAGCTGCTGTTCGTGCTGGCAACTCGGCACAGTGTTGGTTGGCACGATCATCAAGTCGACGGGGTGGAGGAACAGAGGCGGAGCACGTGGGGCGTTGGCACAACGGAAAGTTGCGGCGTGCGATAGCGTTACTGTCGAAAGAGCGCCTTGGTTCGTCCTCCGCAGGTTACATTAACAACTCCGCGCTGAAAAGAGAAGCTTGGTGCAGCACGCCCATCCTACATACGCTATTCACGCAGATATCGTCTCTTAACGGCGGGCCCCGCCACATCCCTTCGGCGTCCTCCCCGCTCAAAATGGCGCCAGAGTACGTTGGACTTGCAAATGTTCTGGCCGCCCGTGCCTACGAGTTGTGCTGCTGGACCCGACCATCGACGAGATTATCCAACATTATGGTCGTGGCCACCTTGACCTACCCGTTGGCTTGTAACCAAGCCACAGTGGGGCCAACTTCGTGCCACCATTGAACGACCCAACAGCCATCTACAAAACGAACAGGTCGCTCCAAGGACGACTCAACCATGTAGACTCGATCGAATTCGTCAATGGAATCTGGATTCCTTCTGTCTTTATTATGCCGGTGCTCGAAACCCCAACCGACGAATGAAACCGGATTCAGCGGCGCTCCATATCCCCCGCGCCGATGTCGCTGCGGGGCATCGTGAGTCGCTGGTTGTGGCGGCGCAAGGAGTGTTTATCGGAAAGGTCGTCACGCCAAGTTTGAAGGCATCCTGTACAAGCTTCGAACCGATGCCATGGCGTTTCAATGGCCGAAGTCGGTATCGTTGGGGACACCGCACCTTTTGTACAACACAACGACGCCAATCGTAGCGAGCCACGCAACTAACCGAAGGGGGTGGCCTTCAACGGAGATGCTGCTGTTCGAGCCATTCATTTCTTCGCGCAGTCGCCTGTCGTTGCTTCGTTTTCTCGGGCGCGTGCGGGGTCCAAGCCTATATAACGTCGTCACCGCCGCCCAAGACCTTAGACATACTCCAGACGACGTGAAAAGAAAAGCGAGGCACAAGTGAGTCATTGGCGCAAGAGCTACACTCGACAGGAATGGCGGCACTCGCTTCTTGATTTTCTCCGTCGAGTGGTTCATCTCGGACGGGGAGGGTGATCACGGCATGTTTGAGCTACCAAACTCGCGGAGGTTGTCCGTCTTGAGCTCGTTGCCCCAATACACAACGTTGGCATGATCGTGTGTGTGTTTGATGTAAACGGGACTCGAGTGCCCGCCTCCCATCAACATGTTGTCATCGAGAGCGCCATCGACTTCATCGCGACCACAGTCAACGGGGGGTCACCGTTCCAGCAAGCCCGCTTTCTTGGAGAACGGTATACGTCAATGGAGCGAAAGAATGCGCAGTGCAGCCTACGGTGCATTCAACTTGCAGCCAACAATGGAATGCCATTCTTCAGGGTTTGCCAGTTCGCACAGAGCATTCCCACAAGAGTCGCGCGGCAGATGAAGTCGGTCGCCGACCTGCACCCGCCTCCATTCAAGCTGCTTTGACCTCGAGAGTACACACCATGCCCTGCCAGCTATGTACTTGCATCGACGCTCCAATGTGCGATTGAATTCTGCATTCGACCACGTATTGCGCAGGAGGAGGCATCCACGTGAAGTTGGCTCCTGGTTGTTCTCTTGCTGGTCCGAGCGAACCCTCCATGAATACTTGGCTGCAATTGTCGGTGCCGCAGGCGCCAGGTAAAGAGTGCTTTCTGCTTGCAACCTGTGCTCGTCAACGCGGCTGAGGTGGTTCGCCCGGTGCCCCTTGGCCAGTGGATGGCATGCCACACGCCTCTTGAAAGTTCAACATTTTTCTCACTCGCTGCTGCGGTCCGTATTGTAATGTATCGTAAGATGCATGTCAATACATACAACCGCATCATACGTCCATTACGGTAATGTACAGTGTACGAGCTGGTGCCCACGTGACCTACCAACGGAAAGATTGCACGATCGCCGACACTGCCGCCGACGCCCGACACGATGCCGACGGAGATCCTCGACTTTGCGGTCGGCACGATCATCGGCAACATCTCGACGGCCGTTGTCCTCACACTTGTGTACTACAACTTCATCCTCTTCGAAGACTACTTCCGCGTCATCATTTGGGCCTTCCTCTTCAGTCAGGCACTGCGAGGCGCGAAGGAAAAGATCTGCCGCCTGTTGCGCTATCTCAGCCGCGGCAAGGAAATCCAACGCGACGTACGTGACCACTTCATGTAGAGGCTATGAAGGCAGTTCCATCTCTCTCACGGGATCGATCTGTGTCCAGGGACTCTTGTACACCGTGTGGACGCAAGCAATCCCGTACTTTCTTCGTTCGACGACGCGACGTCCCAACAGCCCCGACGACGCTCCTGTGGTTGTCCGTCCGCAGGACAAGTTGACAAATCTCATCATGGACAATGGGATATTCATCTTTGCGTGGATCGGTGGCGTCTCGATCTACGTTCGCATGTTCAGCTTTGTGTCGTTCCTGCAACTGTCCGTCGGCATCTTGATCGCGGGGAGTCTGGCCGTGTGGACGCTTGATCGCCGCGTGTTTTACTACCGCTTGTTTATCTCGGACGACGTGCTCGTGTCGTTGTTGCTCATCCTGGGTTGTTTTGTGATCGTAAGGCGGCCGCACGTCTCGATCCTACGCACGTTGATCGTGCCTGCGGTCGTAGGGATTCTTTGTGCTGTTTTACCTCGGCACGGAAAGCTACATGGAGGGATCGTTGGCAGCATCTCATGTGAGCCGATGGATCCAAACGAACGTTGTGAACGATGAGCGGACGCGCGCGATGTGGACCGAGCAAATTGCCAACGGCAAGGCCATGGTGTCGTCGGCGATCCATCGCGTCGAAGGGTCGTACAACAACACGATATGGTTTGGACCGCTCAAGACGATGGTGGTATCATATTATGAAAACCCTGGAGCCAACCAGTCGCTGCAAGCCGGCACGTCGGTCTTTCCGCCCAACATGACGTGGGTGCAGGTAGGGTGTTGAAAAAGGACGACCCTGCGCACCTCGGGTGGTGCAAACGTGCGTAGGCATGGTCGTTTGCGTACGCACAACTGAGCGATTTCAACCTGACGTCGGTCGAAGTGAGCGACATGACGTCGAAAGGACTCGAGTACAGCGGCATGGCGGTCGGGTCGGTGATTCAGCTCGTGTTTGTGCTTGTCGCGATCGTCGTCGCGTTCGTCAGCATCGGACTCAAGTCGTTCTTTTTTGTCACGTCGCTGTTCTACCTGCTCAGCGCCAAGTGGGACCCTGTCGAACGGGTGAGGCCGCTCGTTGGACCGGCCATCGCGCCTTGCTCCTCCAGTCGTGGCATGGCCGAGGCGCATGCGATGGTCGCACATGCCTCATCGTATTCAACTCGTATTAGATTGTCTACGATTTGATCCCGATTGCCCCCGAGAAACGACCGGCCATGGTGGCGTCGCTCCGACGTGCGATTGAAGGCGTGTTTTTCCTCCCCATGAAGATATCGAGTTTGCATGCCATCGTGTCGCTTGTGTCGTTTTCGATCGTGGTACGCTGTCGACATGCAAAAGCAAATGCACGGGCGCTCACTCGTTGTGCGTCGTTTCACCACAGGGAACGGACTTTGTCTTTCTCGGGACGCTCCTGTCGTTCTTCATCTCGATCGTGCCGATCATTCCGCCATACTTGATTTGCCTGCCGTACGTGTGCTTGCGCCTCTCGACGTCGTTCGTACCGGCCATCTTGCTCTTCGTCGTGCACTACTTTGCGTTTACCTGGATCGACCAAGTGCTGTACGAGCGCAGCTTGACTTCTATCAACGCGTATATTTCAGCGCTCAGCGTTGCGTTTGGCGTGTATGTGTTTGGCCTGGAGGTAAGTCCGCGTGGCGTGGTGCATGTCGACCGTGGATGGCGGCCGTTGACGGTCCATGTGCGGCAGGGCGTCGTATTTGGCCCGCTTCTTGTGTGCGGGGTGAATTGGGCGTACGAGATTTCGAATCACGGTGTCAAAGCTGCCACGACCGACGAGGAGACGTCGTCGTCGCCGCACGGACTCGACGGCCAAGACAGCATCTTCACGAGCGCGTACAAGGCGATCTCTGGCGGCCTGCGAGGCAACCTCTCGCGCGGGTTTTCGTTCGACTCGTCGTCGGACCATGCGATTTGCTTCGACTTGGAAGTTCACCGGGACACTCCGGGTACGCCGCCGTATGTTGTGCGGTACATTGCCAAGAAAGACTGGAGCTACGAGTACCTCGTCAAGAACATGCGCCACACGCTCAAAGTTTGGAACGTTCGCGGGCTGTATGCGAAAAAGAACCACGCGCAGATTTTGAGTGTCGAGCACATCTTTCCCAAAGAATTGATCCAGGTCGTTGTCCAAGACGAGCCGAATTCGCCGCTGTCGCACCCCCTTCCTCACGTCGAAGAGTACAGCAGCAGCAGCAGCCATCGCCCTCCGATGCACCATCTAAACGTGAAGCAAAGCGGGCGAGGGGCAAAGGGTGGCAGGGTGCTGAGTCCGTCAACGACCCCCACGCTCGTGCGCCGTCGGTCGGCCAACACCACGCCTCACAGCAGCAACCGTACTCATGCCACATCGAATCATTGTGTACGTATTTCCACTCTGCCTTGTCAGAGTGCATGACCTGTGCTATGTGCTGGATAGCTCGTGCCTCGCCGTTCGTTCCGTTCTAGCGAGTCGGGCTCGTCGTCGACGCACGGCGATTCGGACGGCGCCGTGGACGAGTCGTCGTCCCCTGCGGTGGTGCCCTCGCTCAATCGATCGTCCACAATTACAGTGGATCCCGAGTCGGATTCGTTCGATGGGTTCCACACCGCCGCTAGTGCGAGCTTTCGAGCGGCACTGAAAGGTCTCCGCATTCAATCGGATGTCTCACCACCTGCGGACGTGCAGGATCCGCACAACTGTGCCATGGAAGCGTCGCTGTACGAATCGGCGCCCGAGGAGCCGACGTTGCCCCCGCCACCAGTCGACAAACCAGTGACCAATCCAACGGATGACGGCGTCACAACAGCACCAGTCCTCGCGCAGCCGCCGCTGCACTCGCCAACAAGTCCCCTGTACATTACCGAGAAAGTCACGACTTTGCGCCAACGCAGAGGGAGCGTCACGATGGACAGTCCGACCGCCGCCAGCGACCGGTCCACGAAACCAGGGCTGTGGAAGTCGATATTTAAACCGAGTTAGCGAGCGACGATTGCCGTGAATGGCACTCAACGTGGTGCCGTGCTGAGCACACTCGATTCAGGCAAAAACACGCTGGTGCTCAACGCCACCGAAGGTCTGGCATACAATCACTCGCAGAAAAAGACACAGTGCTGGCACGTTGCAGGCGCTGGGCGCCGCTTGGCACATCCATGCGCTCATCGTACACGCGTCCTACTAGTCCTCTCCAAGCAACGTCCATCGCGTTCGTGCGTCTGACAGGGCATGCAATGCGTCGTCGTCGTTGGCATTTCTTTCAATAGGATCGCACTAGAAAAGTTTGCCGGGGTTCAAAATCGCGTGTGGGTCCAACGCATGCTTGATGGCGCGCATCACATCCATCGTGGGTCCGCCATGCTCGAGCTCCAAATACTTTTTCTTGCCCAGACCAATGCCGTGCTCGCCAGTGCACGTCCCGCCGGCCTTGAGCGCACGCTCAATTAGTCTGTCGCTGAACGCTTGGATCTTGGGGTAGTCGTCTGGAAGGAAGGGCAGCATGACGTGGAAATTGCCGTCACCGACGTGGCTAATCATCGACAGTTTGAGATCGTTGTGAAAGGTAGGAAGCATCGCACAGACCCAACGATGTTGCCGATCAGGTGGGACTGTTGCAGGTCTGCTTGGGTATCGACGATCACTTGAGTCAGCTCCGACAATGGCACGCACACGTCGGTGGACAACCCTTTGCTGCCAGGCACCAAATTCTAGACGACCACCTCAAGCACGGCATGCGAAAGGCCATCGCTTGGCCTGGCACGTACCAACGTGGCGTACCATGCTGCATGACGGGCTTTCATCAATTCAGATCGCTCTTCGGTGGAAGTGGCCCACTGGATCTTTTGCACTTGGTACTCTCCAGTCAACGCTTCGACCTGTGCACGAAACGTTAGGCATGGCGTGTGCACTTGGACAAGTCGACCAGCGCCGTTTGATTCTCAACGTCATCCGCTGTGCCATTCAGCTCAATGACCAACGACGGGAGGACGGCGTTGTCGAGTTTCGAGTATCTGTTGGTTGCAGCCATCGTGTGCTCGTCCATGAGCTCCATGCGAGCGACAGGAATGCCCATCTGCATGATCGCTGTGCATGTGTCGACCGCCAGTTGAATGGACGGAAAGCTGCACACTGCAAGTCGTTGGATCTCTGGTACGCCGTGGAGTCGCAACTCGACCTACAGGCGTCACTGCAGTGAGATGAAATCCACGCGCGTGTATTGTCCATGGCATCTGAAGTTGTTTGGGATTCAAACTAGGAAGCCCTCCACATGCAGCGCCTTGATGTCGCACCTCTGTCACAACACCCAGTGTGCCTTCGGACCCGATCAAGAGGCGTGTGAGGTCGTAGCCAGCCGACGACTTGCGAGCTCTACATGATGGGTTCCAGATCATGGTCGGTCGAACGGACGGGTGCTTTGACCGACTTACTTGGATCCCGTTTGAATCACGTCGCCGTTGGCAAGCACCGCAGTGAGCGCCAACACGTTCGATTTCATGTTGCCATAGCTGAAGAATGATTGAATCGGTGATGGCTATATAACACCGACGTGGACGTACCGCACAGTGGTCGTGCCAGACGCATTTGTGGACACCATGCCTCCCAACGTAGCGTCGGCGCCAGGATCGACGGGGAAGAAAAGTCCCGTGGCACGCAGCTCCGATTCGAGCTGGAGACGGGTGACCCCAGCTTGGACGCGACAACTCATGTTCTCGGGCTCGACCTGGCACGGACAATCAGCATGACGGGTCGAACATGGGCATATGGAAGGTCAGAACAGCCACATGGAATCCAACGTACTTTCAAAATCGAGTTGAGACCGGTCAGGTCGAGGGAAATACCGCCGCAGACGGCAGAGATGTGGCCTTCCAACGACGACCCCGCGCCAAACGGAATCACGGGCGTTTTGGTCGATGAACAGATCTGCAACACTTTGGACACTTCCTCTGTGCTTGTGACAAACGCCACAGCGTCCGGCGGCGGCGCGCTGTGATACGACTCGTCTTTGCCATGATGCTACGAGTCAATTGTCAATTCCTTTGGCCGCTCGCGTGTCCACAGCTCCACCTCGCGTACAGACATCGCTGTCGAGAGGCGGTCGCCCAAAAGCTGGCGCAGCTTTTCGACGGTGTCGGGAGTCGCATTGCGCGGCGACAAGCCTGCGGAAAAGTAGCGTCGATAAAGTGCTGAGGACGAGCGATGCAGCAGCATAATGGAACTCTGTCGAGTGGCCAACGTCTTCCTTGGATACATATCCCGGTGTCAGAAAAACGAACCCAAGATCGTCAGGCCCAATCCGGTAAGTTTATCCGTATTCGAGGATGGCACTTCGGTGCGACATTTGGCCCGCGAGGTGCTGACGGCTTGGCCGAGGCGTCCACATGCAGCGACCATGGCGCCGTCGTAGTCACAGGAATGAGCGACGCATGTCGGTGAACGTGTGGCATCATTTCGTCAAAGGACGCTTTTACTTTGAGCTGCAGGCGTGTTGCGCTGCCTCGAACACTATCCGCATGCAAATCCTCCTCATCCAGCACATCCTATATCGCATGACACTATAGATTTGAAGGGTGCGAGAATGCCTTGGGTGTTCAGCGCCGATGCAAGTCGCTGGTGCGAGTTGTTGTCACCTGGAGCCACCACGCCAATGCACCTCTCATGTTGTCGGTGGCCCAAGCAATTGAAGCTAAGAAATTCAGTGCGTGAAAGCCGACATGGCAGCAGCTCGATGCCTCACACCTCCATAGTCTTCTCCACCGCAAGACCATGGACCTGTGAGCATCAGTCGTGGCTAGAGCAAGGGCGACAACTTCCTCGTGTGGCAACCCACGTGGACGCGCCATCCCATAAAATAGTTGCTTCAACGATATTATCCGGATAAAGATGTATTGACCGGAAATTACCAACTGAAACGTCGCGCGCTGATTTGGTGCCGCGGATGCCGGCGGCCGTCGGTGGAAGTTGATGTATTCGCGCAATAAGAGCCTCTTCATAAATGACATTCGCTACACCGACCAGAGCTCCGCACCGCCCTTGCTGAAAAGTACGACCCAATGGACCCAGGGCTAGTTGGCTAGTTACTTGCTCACTCATGGTGGCACATGCTATAGGCGCAACAACGCATGGAATGACGTCGACCGAAGAGGTTTATCCTTACTCTGCCTGCATCTACATCCACGACATTTCTCGTGCCATAGGAGCGCACGCATTCACCGAAAGCCACCCAAGGAAACAAAGTCCGCCAGCTGCGAATGTTGCCGCAGAAACGTCAACCTCGTCCTTCCCTGCCGACAAGGGGCGGAAACCACGTCCCCGACACATTACCCTTTCCAACAACACTTGTACCTACAACGACAAAACAGCCGCACAATCCCATCACCAAGCACACTCTGCAAAGCAGACGAAAGGTCTATGGGGTTCCCCCCAAATCAACGCTGCACGAGACCGTCGCTGCGTCGAGGAAGCGCCACCTCGATCCGTTGGACGCGCGTACAATCCAAGCAGCTCTGCAGCACGATGTGTCCGAGATTCAGGTGTTATCGATCGTCCATTATAACCTTGCTTCGCTTGGCTTGATCGAAACGTGACCTCTGTTCTGCCATCCGTCTAGGATACAATGCACCGCGTGGCCAAGAACATCCCGATCCAGTTCCTCATGGAAACAAACCACCGCGACTTTGCGCTCCAAGTCGCGACCGAAACAGTGTGGCGCATCTTGGTGGCCAACTGGACGTTGGCGCAAAGGCAGGCCATGCACCAGTGGCTGGTATCGTCCACGCGCTAACTGTGTCAAGGTCCCGCCCAGCTCACAACCATGTAGAAGTGGACGCTGCAAGCTCGACAACTCGATCATGTAGCCAAGCGTCAACTGCTCGAGAAACAAGCCGGTACGTCATGGCGATGAACGAATGCTTGGACGTGTTGGTCGTAGGCCTCGCGAGGTGTTTGCACATCGCCCAGTCGCGGCTCCATCGATTCATGCAAACAAGGTTCTACATGTGGCACGGCGAAGCGAATCGGCGAACGAGCGAGCTTCGTGTTAACATGGCGCTGTCTATTCAGTGTGCATGGCGCCAGAAGCTTGCACGGCATGCCGTGGCGCACATCCATGCCCGACACGATCGAATCAAGCAGCACCATGCTGCCACTTGCATCCAGCGGTACGGCCATCTCGTCGCGTCGATTTCACCTTGCTGCACAATGTGGATGGTGCTATGGCGTCTCTGCAGCATTGCCTGAGTCCTGATGTATTTGTGTGAAGCCGCGTCCGAGGAATGCAGGGCCGGCGTCGTGCCAGTGGCGTGGCCTACGCCACATTGACCCGAACCAGTGCTCGAATCATCCAGCGGGCGTTCCGGCGATTCATGGTCGCGCAGCTCCACTGGCGCCAAGTGAAACAACTAAGGGCACTGGACATTCAGCGCGTGTGGCGGGGAATGGAGGGGCGACAACGAGCAGTGGCCCGTCGGCAGGTCGTTCACGCCACTGCCATCGACTTTTACAACGCGGACGCAGCAGCATCCTTGATCCGATGCACGTCATACCTCTGTGCCATCCTGGCCATTCAAAGGTGTATCCGGCACCACTTGGCGCGGCAACACGTTACCACGGGACTGCAAACGCTGGCACGTCGGCAGCAATGCTTTCCACGCATTCGTCTTCAAGTACGCACGATGGACATTTTGAACTTTTTTGGTCATGCATCCACATTCGATAGCGGTCGTGGCGGCGCTACCGGCGCGCGGTTCTCGCCGGTGCCGTGGATGACGTCGTGCGCACGCTTGTTGTCATGGCCAAACACCTCGCAAGAAAAGTCGTACATCACTGTGCAATGCTCGCCCGAGCCAAGCAACGGCAACGTGCCACCGCCATCCAATGCCTCGTTCGGGGAGCCCTCGCTCGCATGCACGTAAACGCTGCACAACGCGACACGTGGACGGCGCTGGACCGTCAGCTGCCTCGTTGCGACAAAGCGTATCTTGAGTGGGACGTCCTTACCGCCGTGGAACGCACCAAGTGCGTCGTCGTGTGGCGGCGAAAGGTCTCTCGGTGGCGAGATGCATGTGCAACGGACATCCAGCGAATGTTTCGTGGGCATGCTGTCCGCAAGGTGTACCAAGTGCGACAGCGTGCATGTGGCGAGTTGCGGCACTTGCTGAATCGCCCGGTGCACCGATATCTGCGGCGGCTCAAGGCCCGCCGGGTTCGGGTACGCGGTGAACGGAAGTGGTCAAAGCTGTAACGATAGAGTCTGTGCGCGTAGGGCCGATGGAGGCGCCACCACCACACAACCCTTGCGTCGACTGTGCTTGCGTGGAAAGGCATCACGCAGGCCCTCCAGCGTATCAAGACTCTCCGGCACAGCGAACGGCAGCGCCACGTTGCGCAATGGCACTTTGAAAAGAAACAGCGGCGACGGATGCTGTATCACTGGGGCAACTGCGTGCGAGTCCAGCAGGGCCGTACACATCGAGCGATGCTGGCCACTCATTTTTCCAACCGGCACATCTTGACACGGGCCATGGAGGTACGAGATGGGGTTTTGTGTCCATACAAGCAAACGACGTGCTCGCAATGACAAGTGTTCAAAAACGTGATGGGGGCGACCTCTTGTAGCAATGGAGACGTGGCACGCTTGTGGAGATCCTCCAGCACATTGTGTGCAAGCACGCGATGTTGGTGGACGTGTTCCAGCGGTGGGCAGGTCACACAGCGCTGTTGAAGCGGGCGCATCAGCTGCGGAACAAAATCCACGGACGCATCAAGGCCGATCTCGTAGAGCATTGGAGGCAACTCCACATTTTGCATCACGTCCTTGGCGCCATCGCGATCGAGCACGCGAACCGAGCCCTCGCTCGATCTCACTTGACGGCATTGCGAACCTTGACTAGACGACATCTTCTTGGTACGACAGTTGCCAAAGTTTCCCACCATGCTGGCAGCAATTGATCACGACGAATTGCATCTATAGTGACCAAGCGTTGCATTCGATTGGGATCGCGAGATGGCGTCCACGCGTGGGTGGAATGGGTGGGCGTGCTGCAATTCCACCGAGCGCAGCGGGAACGGGGGCGGCTCTTTCGCATTCGCCACCTCTTTGCGCAGTGGCAAACGCTTCCAGCTCTTCAAAACGCAGCAGCGTGTCGTCGACACCGCTTGGACATGTTTGCAAATGCGTGGAAAGCAAAGCGAGCACTGGTGCAATGGGTCGATCGGACCGACGTCGCGCGAGAATACCATGTTCTGCATGGCAAGTCGCAAGGGCTGTTTTCACGCACGTTCCGGCGGAAAGCATTCGCAGAATGGTACAAACTGTGGGCCGAGACAGCTGGGAAGCGGCGCATCGCGAGCGCGCTTCGCGTCCAAGCCGCGTGGCGCGGTAAACGCGGACGGCGGCAGTTTGCCAAGGCCAAGGCATTGCATCGCTACAAGGTTCGTCCATCCCTTGGCTTGCTGAGTGCGACGCATTGTCTCGTTGTAGATGGCCAAGCGCATTGAACGAGGGGCTGACTCTCCCGAATGCACAGTGGACGGCATCACAACGCTCCTGCAGACCAAGCAGTGGGTGATTCTGTACGCGTATTTGCCTTGGGAGCCACCGACACTGCCGCAGCGACGGGCATTCTGTACGATCGCCACCAAGCTGCACCTCAAGCGCGACATCGTGTTTGGCTTTTGCGACGCGACCCAACTCGACCCTGGCACGATGTGCGTATTGGGCCACTCGTGGTGTGCATTCTCACGGCGCTTCGATCGTAGGGTGAGCCTAGCGACCCGCCTCAAGCTCAAGTCGCGGCTGCCATCCATTTCAGTGTTTTGGCAAGGTCGGGGACCCGAGAACGAAACCCTGCGCGATCCCGCGCGGCGCATCGCTCGCAGGTTTACAAAAGTCGACATGCAATTCCATGGCTTCGTTGCCATGACGTCGGATACGCTTGGAGCGTTTGTCGACCAACTTTTTCAAAATGCCCAGCACGCTGCAGCCACAGATATCCAAGCCATCTTGCGAGGCACCCTGGTCCGCATGCGAATCTACTACGCAAGGCAATACCGCCACCGCAATGTTGCAACGTCGATCGTGTGGTGGTGGGTTCCGTGTCCAGTTGCTGCTCCGATCCATCCATCGCTCGGGTTCATTCATGATGTTGCAGGTTCGTCCGGCAGTGCCGACGGCGGCGGCATAAGAATGCGACCAAGCTCGAGCGGTGGTACCGGCGCCGAATGGCGCAACATCGAGCGTGGAACACGGCCAAGGCGCGTATGGTCGAACTGCGCAAACCGGTTCAACTGATTCAACGCGTCGTGCGGCACTACTTCAGCAGAGTTCAGTACGGACGAGCCAGGTGCGCTAGATGTACCCGAGATCTGAACGCTGCATATGCATGGGATGGCATAGGGACGAGCGACGAGCGACGCCGGAGCTGTACCCCCACGCTGCGTTGTGCATGACGTGCGAGCGCCGCGTCGGCATGACAAAATGCACCGACTGCGACGAACCGTACTGCGACGACTGCTTTGCAATGTTTCACCAACAAGGAAGTCGCGCCGACCATCGCGCTGTCTCGATGGACTTTATTGCGATGGACAAGAACTGGTGCATGTGTCGCCGGTGCCATGTTCGATCTACTCGACGCGTCTGCGTGGTATGTCTTCGTCTCATTTGGTTGACCGGCGAGCTCAACGACGAAGAGCCATCGTGGTACTTGATATCGGACGGTGACGATGCCGTTGTAGGAATGCAGGATCGGGCTGTGCATCTTGTGTTTTGAAAAAGTCCACTCGATGCGATCTGGCCTCCATGGCCACCGCTTTCGTCGCCCCGTCAAGCTCGTCCTCGACGAAACCAAACGCAAGACGAAGCGGCGATTCCAAATGCCCATGTTACTCTGCTCCGACTTGGCGCAAGACGTTATCACGCAGCATGGATGGCCCACAAAGAGTCGCGTTGATGCAGCGGCGGCAGCCGTCGAAGCAGCTCGACTCGCCGCCGACTCGCGCGAACGCCAGATCCAAGCGATCTGCGCCATGCTGGAGAAGCCCGTCCTCGATGCATTCCAAGTGTACGACCCCGACCACGAAGGCTTTATCGGCATCGGCGAGCTGCGGATGCTTTTGACGCAGGAGCTGTGCATCCCGGTCCGCAAGCGAGATATCCAAGCGATTGTGGCAAACATCGACATCAATCACGATGGTCACCTCGGTAGGCTCTTGCCAATCTCTCCAATCGTTTGAGAAACCGACTTGATCTCCTCCTCGTGTCTGTGCGCAGGATGGAACGAGATCGTGCGGTGGCTGGCAGTTCAAGTGGTCGACGGCACCTTTCGCGGTACGTGGCGTCGTTCGAGGGCAGGATGGCGTTGTCACGCGCGTGCATGTGGCAGGCCCCGTTCGTGCGGTCCGACGAAGTCAATTGCGCGTGCACAAGCGATATCGCAACGCGGCGCAGCGGTACCGCGAGTTCCAGCGCGCCTTCCACGGTCGATTCCCATCGCGTCGCGCGAAGAAGCGCATGGTGTCGCTGTACCCTGACGTGGGCCAACTCCACCCCGTCGACGACTTTCAGCGAAAGAAGCACGTGTTTTACCGGTTCCTTCAAACTGGTACGTTCGTTTGGCACGCACGGTCGATTGTGGCCGCACGTTTGCCGCTGTAGAATTCGCCATGGCTTGGATCTTGGACGACATCCACGTCATCGACTTGGACAACCAGATGAAAGTGTTTGCAGACGTGTTTGTCCCGCGGTGGAACGCTGGCGCGTTGGGCTACGACTACTACTACGACGGCGTCACATTCGAGCACAAAGCAACGCTGTTTGAGCAAAAATGGGATCGCGACCTCCACAAGTATGTGTTTTGGAACGTGGCGACCCACGACGCGCACTTGGTCGACCCGCGGAAGGAAGACGTGCTGTACGCGATGGCGTTTGACGCGTTCAACGAAGTCGACGTCGACGGGCAAGTGCCACATGAACTTGGCGACGAACAATTCCTCGGGGGTGGCTCATTGGCGACCCATGCATTAGGTCGGGCGACGTCGACGTGAACGAACTCTACACCTTGCTCAACGAAAACCTGTGCGAGCCCATGCCAATGCACCAAGTGATCCAAGTGATGCATTCGATCGACCAGGATGGCTCGGGCACCATTAGTACGACCGCGCGCTTGCAGGCATCGTGTGCATGCGATCGGTGAGTCACCGTGGGTTGTTGCGCGGTAGGTTTCCACGAGTTCTATGCGTGGTACGGGTCCGAATACAGTCAGCAGCACGTCAAGTCGGTCAAGCATGACGGGTTGAAAATGGCGCTGCGGACAAGACGCAATGCCAAGCGACTAGGTGACACTTCTGCCATGGGAGGCACATTCATATGGAGTTTTTTCTCGAGCAGCTGCCAAGAGCTATCGTGCGGGAGTGAAGCACGGGTCGATGATGATTCAAGGCGTGAAGAACCGCATGGAACAGCGGCGACTGCAAGCCGACTGTGCCAACGCAGACCCAGAAATGGTTGAGCTCTTGATGGAGGTTCGACCGTTCTCGCTTGGAAAATGCCGAATCCCACTGGCGCATCTCAACGACATGGATGCAGGGCTATGAGAAGCACATGGTCCAGAAGGCGCTCATGATGAGCCACAACGACGTGAACAAGGTGTGTGTGCGTGTGCGTTAATGTCGTGCCGGGAATGAGCGAGATGACCGTCAGGCTCGCGACTGGCTCGCACACAAGAAGGAAGAAGCTGCGTTCGATGCGGCCAAGAAGCGAGAAGAGCTACGACGCCGCCGCCAAGAGCAACTGCAAGTGCTGCGTGCAGTTCAAACGTCGACCAAACAAGGTCTCGTCAGCGTGGCATCCGCGATCAAGGCGATGCTGTTCGGAAAACCCGCCAACGGAGACGCAGAAGTACGGACGCCACATGGACGTCCGTGCTGTAACGTGTCTGTGGTGTGTGTGTGCGCAGGTCGATGCTATTCTGAAGAACCTCAAGATGGAGATCGATGGAGCGCGAGAGATCGTCCAAGACGAGCTGGACCCGCAGTACTGACAAGGGCTGGCCAGACCACCCACGCATATACGTGTCAGTCAAAGCGTCGTTGTTTCAATCAACCTGCGTGAAATTTCTCCATCTCGCGCTCAATCTTGGCGCGTTCGAGGCCGTCGTCGTCGCTGCCAAAGACCTGCGCCGACATGTACTCATCCCAGTCCATGTACCACACCGTGAGAGCATATCTGCAAAACGACTGAGCCACACTTGGACATGCAACGAGACGTACCTCTTCACAGTGGTCGGTCGAACTTCGTGCGGGTTGCGACCGTCCGAATAGAACAAGAGCAGGCGGTCCAACAGCGGAGTCACGACATGAGCGTCGTCGCCGTGGTAGAGGACGAGCTCGCCGCCGTGGGGTAGCTCCCATGACGGATTCAAATACAAGATCGCAGTGACCTGCCAAAGCCACGAAAAAGGTTGATGTTCAGCCGTGGAGAGATGGCAGAGGTCGAAGGAAGACGGAGCGACACCTTTCGTCCATTTCCGTTGGGGTTGTCGCAGTGCTTGACGTACGATGCTCCGTCGCCGGGGTAACATGTCAGCATGGCTTTCTTCCGCATCAACGCACATCTGCCCGTGGGGCCATGAGCCGTCTAGACTGCAAAGAGATGGAAGTTTTACGCTGTCAGCTCGTCGGTCGCCAATCGCTCGATGATCAACCGATCTAGTTGCCGCAATGTCTGCGACACGATCGGGGGGCACTCGGGCTCGGTCCCGTCCAGCCACAGCACGTCGTCGCCCCGGACGGACGGCTTTTGGTACCGCAGATTCCGCCCGGTTTTTCCGCCCGCGAGCACCCCCCTTTCAAACGAATACGGGCCGCCGTAGGTGTGCAGGTTGTCGAGGGTTTCGAAGAGCGCGAATGCCATCGCATGGCCCAAGAACGCATCGAGCACTGCGAACTGGTTCATTTCCAGCGTCGCGCCGAGGGCTGCAATGGCATCTGGTGACGGCAGCGGCGGTAAATTCAGGTCGCCAGGCTTGTTGGTCGGACGATGGTTCGTGGGAGGGTCCACTGCATGTATCATTCATCTCAAGGTCGACATGCACCATCCCAACGAGTAATCATGACGTACCACTCGGTTGACCCAACGACAGCGCCAAGACCGCTCGATTCGCAGCCTTTTCAACTTCTTGACGTTGGCGCTCGGCGTGGTTGTAGTCTGCGAGGGCGACGTGTTGCTCATGCTTGGCGCGATCCACAGCCACGGTGAGCTCGTCCACTTGGTCTTGCAAGGACACTTTCCATGCATGTAAGGACGCTAACACTTGCTGGGCTTGGACATCAAGTGGGTCGATGGGCTTAGGTCGTGGTAGGATGCTCTTGGTTACGGACATGGTCATGCTGCGAAGTTTGGTCGCCAGGCATGACGGGTGGTACAACTCATAGACGAAGCGACTCGCATGAGCAAATGACTTGAACGTATATGCTGCTGGAGAGGAGGCAAGGGGTGTCAAGTAAGCCGAGCCACTAAACGACAACGTGTGTGATTCAAACACGGGCAAGCTGCTGAACGGCCATGCACCGAGCTCTTCAGGGCACATCGTTGGGTGGTCCTCGACCAGTTGGTCTTTGTCGAGGAATCGAATGCGGTTGGACCAGCTGTCGACTGTGTACTGTGTGATCATGGCACGGGTGATCTCGTGCGAGAGGGGAACGAGGCCAGAGGGTGTGAAGGCCACGACCTTTTGGAATTTGTTGTGGACGGTCATCATGCTGGCATGCTGCACGAATGTTAGGTACAAATCCACTTGCTCCAAACATAGAGTGGATTGAAGGCTTTGGCAGATAGGAAACAAGTGGAAGGTGACGTTGGGGCACCCGACGAGACTGATTTTGGTCAAGGCGGGTGTCTGCCGCAGAATCCCCCATAGATCCCGGTCGGTCACGGGTAAGCCGTCTAGCACCAACGTCTTCATGATCGACTTGACGGGAATTTGGTCCAATACATCGTGGTGTACCAGCCGACTGAGTACTGAGTTGAGAAAGCGATCAAGTCGACCAGTTGGTGGCGCATGGGACAATGTCATGTGAAACCACAATTCTGCACACATGGTCGACCTTCGACAGGACTTGCAAAGCAAGCCGCATTTTGTCAGATATTCCCAAGGCGTCAAGTACGGCAAGAACCTTGAAAACATGTCAAGGAATAGCTTGTGATGCATTTGCGTCTCGAGAGCGCCCTCAACGTCGAAGTTGAGCTCGGTCAAGTCCGTCAGTCGCTCTATATTGTTGTCATCCTTGTATTGAATGGTCCACACAATGGGCTTCTCGTCACAGTCGTACGCAATGTCCACAAGTGTGCATTCGAATACCATGCCGTCGAGCTGCCGGAACGCAGCGCATCCAATCGATGGCCCCATGCTGGTGGAAATGCCCCTTCGTCACACCCGAGGCGATCTTTGGAAGGATCTGATTGGTGGAACGGAATCAATACTTCGTGTTGATTGGCTAGATTTGCCAGTGGAAGGCTTTTGAATTTCACTCGAATTTGGAAGGTTCGTGAGTGTCGGGCGCCATGTTCGAAGGCCAAATATCGGGCACGACCACACAATTGCTACCGCCATGCAAAAGGAAGGCTTCAAGAAGCAACCGCGCCAGGCCCGTCGTCTGTCGGGATTCCTTGCGCACCATGCTGCGTCCATCGCGTCGGCGTATTGCCTCTATCGAGTTTATGCGTGGGGTTCGGTTGAGTACTACCCCTTCGGAGAGGCATTCCTGGACACGCCACCCCTACCCATGGCCCCAAACTCGTGTCCTTTCAAGTTTGCGTCTTCGACGAGCGGGTTGATTCCGGTGCAAGACGCTGTCCACGTTCCGCCAAACACTGCCTTCGTCATGCTAAACGGTGCGAACGAAGGGATGTGGGTGTCCTGGGGAGATCACGACAGCACTGCCAAGCGCGATCTATCGATGTGTTCGCAGGCTTTGGCGTCATTTGGGGCCAAGGCGTTTGGCAACCATGGAGTCGACGTCGACCATGCTACGCTATACGATCAAATGGGCAACGCGCTCGCGGGGCAGCCATGGGACGCTGTGGTGACCGCAACGCGCGTGCACGTCCTTCTCGACCAAGAGGTGTGGGTGTGGCCGGGCATTCATGTCGGCCACGAATGGAGCGTTGATGGAGCGCGCATGAAAACCCTGTCGTTGTCGCCCAAGGTTGGCATTGCCCCATGACAAACGGGCACTTCCACTGGCTGCGTAGGCAATCTTCGTCACCAACTTCCTGACGGCAGATGAATGCAATCGCGTGGTGGAATCTGGCAAAGACATGTTGGAGCCGTCGCCCACCGTATCCAAGCATAACTTGAAGGCCCTTGAGCGGTACCGCACTAGCTCCACAGCCTTCATGGGGTACGCCAAAGCCGCTTGACGCCCTCGTTCAATGCACTTCACTTGCAGGCACTTGCCGTTCGCGCAAGAAGTTAAAACCCGGGGTGCGAGTTTGGCGCGGCTTCCAGCACGCGACTACATCGAGGACATTCAGCTCGTGCGATACGAAGCTGGCCAAATGTACAAGGCCCACACCGACTACTTTACGCACGTCGACGTAGCGGACGAGCTCAACCACCCAGCGTCGAAATCGTTTTCGCATTGGATCCAATGGGTCCAACAACTCAACGTGATTCCTCCCAGCCATCCGTTGTACCCAACGCACACGAACGAATTCGAGTTGCAGCTCGCATCGCTGCTGCTTCAGCCGAACTCGTTTGTGAACGACGCACTGTGGACATATATTCCACCGGAATGGAAAGCGTGGATGGAGAAGCACGTTGCGCTGCAGTCGGACTACATCATTTCGTCGATGGTGGCCGCGTTTCAGCCCGTGAACCCCGTTGTACCTCTTAGCTTTATTCGGCAGAGATGGGAAGAGGTCGTGGGAGTCCCGGCCGCCGTCTTTCGGTAGATGCCCCCATCGCCGTGTACGTGTGTGGCTCATGCAACTCGATGCGTAGGTTTCCGCTGCTGGCCAAGTACATCGAACCAAATCGCCACGCCACCTTGTTCGTATATTTAAACAATGTCGGCGACGGCGGGGAAACCGTGTTCCCGATGCATCCTGGCTTTGACACGCCGATCAACACGACGTCCGCCCAAGACATGCCTGAATGCTCCCGTGGGCTGGCCGTGCGGCCGCAGCAAGGCAGCGGCGTCCTCTTCTACTCGAAGCACCCATCGGGTGAAAACGACTATCGGAGTTTGCACGGCGGGTGTCCACCGGCAAAAGGTACGCTATCGTATGCACGATGGATTTGGCATTCCAATTTGCACAGGAAGCATCAAGTGGGGCAGCAACTTGTTCATGTGGAACGTGCCTGCCGAGCGTGGCCAGCGCCTGTGGAAGCTCTGGTAGATTGGTGGCACAAAATGTTTTCTGTGGCACAGCCCACACGTGGACATTCACTAAAACGCTTTCGTATGGTTGTCGTTGGGACAATAGTTCGGTGCCCCACTTACAACGGTTGGCGATGGTTGCTGTTCTGGCGTAACTTGAGTCATCCAGTAGCTGCAGCAGAGTTTGGACAGACTTGAGTAACCTCGCTGCACAAACTATCAATGGATGCCACTTCGCGAACCAAATTGTTAGAGGCGTAAGTTGGTAACATCCGTTGAGTACATCATGAATCGTGCAGCGGAGTAGATATCAGCTCGTTTAGAACTTATGGCCAGCCCAGCATCCGCTCGCACTACCATGGCACATCGGCAGGCGAAGGACTGCACCAGGTCCAAGCCTTCACAGCTCCTTTGCATCTGAACAACAACTCACGATCGCTGTGGACCACCGGTCGTGAAGGGCGGCGTCAAGCCCACGAAAACGTCGCGACCGTTTGCGCTGGTTTCACGTGCCATTCTTGGCTCGCCACTACCGCTCGCACTTCCTTCGGACCGATAGGAATGAATGTTTTGGGAATGATGGGCTTTTCTATTTCTGTCATGCGAAGGTCAGCGAAGTCCCGTCAACATCCTAGCGAGCTGCTACATTGCCATCTCGACCGACCCCATGTCATTCTTCACGACGTTCGACTCGTCCAAGACGACGCGCATCCAAGCAACTAGTGGTATGGATTGGATACATACCCCTCCTTGTAACCTAGTGACCGCCACGATGTAGCCCAGGTGTTCAACGTACTCAAGCGCGTCGAGCACTGGCCTGTGTGGGATGTCGACCTCAAGAAAGTCATCCTGGACACGCCGACGTCGACGCCACTCAACGACACCAAAGGGACGCTTTTCATGAAGAACTACGGTGGTGGCGAGCATCCCTTTGCCATTCAGAACGTGGACGAGTCGCGACATTTTGAATACTTCACACGCCTCCCAGGCGCTGATTCTGTGTGGTACTGGACGTGGAGCGAAGACACCAAGGATGGCTTTGTTGACATGAAGATGGGCGTTCGAGTGCATGGTAGTGCTGCTTTGCTGTGGCGTGGAGCGCTGGCCCCTTTTCTTGGAGGGGCATTCGAC